GGAATCAAGCAATCTTTTAGCACCACAGCAACATGGTTTTCGTACTGGGCACTCCTGTCTAACTAACCTCCTCATAGTGAGAGAGGAATGAGTTGCAGCCCGTGATTGCAAGCTGCCAATAAATGCCGTGTTTATAGACTTCAGTAAGGCATTCGACAAATTATTGCATGTGAAGTTACTAGGAAAACTCTCCTCCTTCGGGTTTGGTGCTTCATTGCAAGCTTGGATCAGGGACCTTTTATACGATGGAAGGAAAAGAGTAGGGGTAGATGGGACACTATCTGGGTGGAAACCTGTAATGAGTAGAGTTTTTCAAGCAACAATTCTAGGTTCACTACTTTTCTTGTTGTATATCAACGAATTGCCTGATTTGCTCAGCTCTTCGGTACTGTTATTCGCCGATGACGTAAAGATTTGGAGAGTCATACGCAGTGATGCAGATAGGTATGCACTTCAGGCGGGTAGGTTAGTCCAAAAGTTGGTGCTTGGAAATCAATTCTAGCAAAAGTGCAATAATGCACATTGGTCATAGCAACTGTTTCCAGTATTCCGTTGATGGTACACCTTTACTCCTAGTCTTTCAACTAGAAGACTTGGGTGTCATCATTAGTCATGATTTGAAAACCCCGGCAAGCTGTAATGCAGCTGCAGCAAAGGGCTCCTACGTATTATGGTCCTTCCGCAGAGCTTTCAAATGTTTTGATCAGGACATGTCCAGAATACTCTACTTACGTTAGACCTCACTTAGAATACTGCAGTCAGGCGGCCAGCCCACGCCTAGAAAAAGATGTCAACGCACTCGAGAGTGTCCAAAGGGTAGGTACTAAGCTTGTGGAAGGCCTTTCGAATCTGTCCTATGAGGAACGACTAGGTCAGCTAAACTTATTCCTGCTGCCTTACCGTGGAAGACGGGATGATCTCATACTGGCATTTCGTATTTTTTATAATACCTTTGGCATTGATATGTCCTATCTTTTACCTCTGCTAGGACTGACTATCTCCAAAGGCATCACAGGAAAATTCAAGAACCGAGATCGAATCAACTTAGCGTGAATCTGCGTTTCTCCCATCGTGTTGTCAACAACCGGAACTCCTTACCTCACCAAGTAGTACCAGCATCTTCTGCCAACGCTTTGAAGGAGAGACTACATCTTCACAGAGATATCTTCGGTAAGTATTGACACAGGCCAACTGGCCCACTATCCTTATAACTGAAAACTGAAACTTAAATCTGACTAACAGTTAGATTATTTGTAAAGAAGCCATGACCAAATACACAATACTTTGGTACACTTAAAAGTTGATACTGTGTTTACAGTTCACTGATATGTACAAAATGGTTTTAAATTTTGATATCAAAACAAAGTTGTATCGAGTCATTTTCTGGAAACGTTAGTCATGTCATGACACAGTTAAATGAATACATTGTGGGAATATTAAATTAATTCTTGGGTAACAAGCAAAATGTCACTCAGCTTATTTCACATACGAATAGTGCACTCAAAAATGGATGACAACTTCCATACGTTGCACTAACGCGTTAACCGAACGTTGTAATTAAGTTTTCGCAAAATATTTACTTAAACAACCAGTTCAATGCAATATCTAATACTTTTCTTGCCATCTGGTGTAAAACAATTGATATATTCAAGCTTACTTCTAGGTCTTGCGGAACGGTTCTAAATCTCGGATGGATTCCGATAGAGTAGGTCTACCCACTCGCCTGCTGTAGATTTGAATAGCCCGAAGGCAATTGGGAGGTGAAATGTGCATGGGTTGTATGATTTTTCCGAGGATTGTGGTGCCGATGAGTTCTTCTAGTGTCGTGCCATCAGACATTTGCTCGAACTGGTTGTATAAAGAAAGGAGAAAGGATGAAGGGATGTCCGGCAAAGTCAAAGGTGAGGAAGTCCGATAAAAAGGCGTTGATTGCTTCCCGAAATCCGAAGGTAAAGCACAGCGCAACCAGATTTCCTCTAGAAAGTGGTCAGGCAACAATCCGTATGTCCCTTCGAGGAATCGGTACGCCATGGAGGCGGAGGCGAACCGGAGGTCGTTCCAGATAGACATTGCCCAGAAGTTTGAAGTTAGCCCAAAGAACGCATGTCTATTTATGGTGTGGAAGAAGATTATCGTGAACAAATAAGCATCTATTCTCACATCAGTAATTTAAAACGAGGGTAGCCAGTTTATAGGCATCATCATTTTGATATATGTTGAAAGATCTACAAAATCTAAGGGTCCCGAACAGTACTGAGTGTTTGTCATTAAACCCTATTGAAAACATCAGAAGACCCCACTGGTTATGGAACAACTGAGAAAATATCGCTTTTCTGCCTGTGCAGAGTGTTACAGTAAAGATAATTAGGACTCTTATTCTCATATAATGGATTTGACATTAAGGATACCAGTTCACTAGTACCTTCAAATTGATGATTCTTGAAACTTTACAAAATGATACTTGGTATTATATAATTCACTCATCAAGTCGTTGACGTGCGTAGTCATTGTTAAAGCTTGTTCCAATTCACGAGACAGACACGTGTTTTCATTTTTCGTCAAACAGATGGGTTCCACTATCAAGAACAAAGGCGCCCAATGTTCGAAGTCTGTGTCATAACCAACCAGCGTCGTTAGTCCATTTGTAAGGTTTGTAATTTGGTCATATAGTCGTCTGTTTATTAGAAACTTGTTTACTTCCCGCCTCTGCTTGCTACAAAGAACCCATGTATTAGCCAAGAATCTTGCGCTATGAAGCGGCCGAGAGGTGAAAAGCCCTCTGGATTGCGGACAACCAATCACATTCAGCTTCACATTCGACACGGCTAATCGGTCTGTTATCCACCCCAACATACTAGCTACGTGAGCCGCCTCAAGCACTACATAATGTAGAAGATTCTTAGGCAATAAAAGTTGTCGTTGCTATGGTCCCCGAAAAACCATCGAAGCTGCGTGCAAGAAAATCATCGGGCTGCGATAGCACTAGGTCGGCTGTGTCGAAACTGTATGCGGATGCCTCTTGCTGTCCATTCAGTAATCTTTCCCAGCAACCCTTAGACGAACAGGTACTTCCGCGAAAGCGAAAGCGTGATATTAGGTGTTTTTCAGAAGGGAAAAAGCGGAACTTAAAGTGCTATCGAACTACAGCACTTCAGCGGTGTTTTCGAAAGAAACGGAGGGCCGAACAGACGACCATGCTGGAGAGAACTTGACAGAAAAGGGCACTACTTGATGCTCAAGACGGTTTCCGGAAGTGTAGGTCTCGTGCTTCATACCTTCTGGCAGCCGCTAATAGGCTGTTCATCTGATCTTGGAATTTATCGAGGTTTTCCAGGGGTATCAGCGACCATCTTCCCCCCAGCAGTAGGACTACTTGACGGCAGAGAATCCCGCACAAAGCCATCGAGGTCCGCTTGACTTGAAGGATGCCACAATCTGCTTTATCAGTAAGGAGATCGATTCTAGACCTGATGCCGTCCCTTCTCTTGTGGATGGCCTTCCATCAATTTTCATCTTCTCGATTCTTCCTTAGACTGATGACATTAGGTTTTGAACAGCTGTGAGGTCATAAAGAGAATCAATGGAACTGGAAAGTAATATCAGGTTGCTTGCAGAATGGGTAACTAATAAAAAACTAGAGTTTAACGCGAACAAATACCAACTCCGCTTCTTTGATCACCAACCCGCAAAAGGTACCCACCACATCCTACGGTACGTAACCTCCCCAGACCATCAAGCAGAAAGAACAGACGCCAATGCTGACTGACATCCCAGACACCTGCCGCGATCGTTTAGGAGACACCCTCACAGCCTGCGCAACACCAAACTTCATGAGCAGCGGACTAGGCGCCCCATCTCCAGAATTCCTTCTGAAGCTGTACAGGACCTATATAAGATACAACTTCGGGGCCCACAACGTCATCTTACCGCCATACCCAAAAAGAGAGCTGATCCTCTCAAAGAAAGTCCAGAGACAAGCGCCGGAAGGTGCCGCGCTGACGCGGCTAAAACCCCGCGAGTAAGAAGCAGGAGTCCTAAGGCCTGACTTCCTTGGTCATCATAAGATGGGTGGCTAGGTGATGACAGCCCAAAATGCTTTTGGTAATCTTAGTCATTCGAACAGTGGAATCCTACCAAACGGCAACCATAGCAATCCTCGTAGTAACCCAAGGACAGTCACTCAAAGGGCAAAACCCTTTTGCTTTCGTGCTTTTTCTGTCCGTACGTTCTTGGCCATTGGAATGCAGCCCTCTGCCAAGGTCGCAACTGCTTCATCCGTCGATGGCTTCAAGAAGAGGTTGGGCTGCTACGCACGGTTTGGGCTCATTCACCTGACGTGCGGACTGGGTTGGTAAGACATACTGAATTGGCACAATCAAGCACATTCAACTTTATACTGAATATCTTCTACTGCCACTGTCGTCGTCAACGTGACCAAACCCCGCAGACTGTTAGACTGCCCCAGTTACCAAGCCCCAACATTGCTACTCCAATTCCAAAAATCCGTCCTACAATTCCACTTGCTAACCCCTCCTTTTTCACTATGTGATCTCACTCTACCTATCAGAGTTCTCCTCAAAACTGTGACCACCCAAGCATCTACTTTAGCTCTCCTTTCCCCCCGTTCAGCATTTATACTCCTTTTTGTCGAACTTCCTCACCTTTGACTTTGCCGGACATCCCTTCATCCTTTCTCCTTTCTTTATACAACCAGTTCGAGCAAATGTCTGATGGCACGACACTAGAAGAACTCATCGGCACCACAATCCTCGGAAAAATCATACAACCCATGCACATTTCACCTCCCAATTGCCTTCGGGCTATTCAAATCTACAGCAGGCGAGTGGGTAGACCTACTCTATCGGAATCCATCCGAGATTTAGAACCGTTCCGCAAGACCTAGAAGTAAGCTCGAATATATCAATTGTTTTACACCAGATGGCAAGAAAAGTATTAGATATTGCATTGAACTGGTTGTTTAAGTAAATATTTTGCGAAAACTTAATTACAACGTTCGGTTAACGCGTTAGTGCAACGTATGGAAGTTGTCATCCATTTTTGAGTGCACTATTCGTATGTGAAATAAGCTGAGTGACATTTTGCTTGTTACCCAAGAATTAATTTAATATTCCCACAATGTATTCATTTAACTGTGTCATGACATGACTAACGTTTCCAGAAAATGACTCGATACAACTTTGTTTTGATATCAAAATTTAAAACCATTTTGTACATATCAGTGAACTGTAAACACAGTATCAACTTTTAAGTGTACCAAAGTATTGTGTATTTGGTCATGGCTTCTTTACAAATAATCTAACTGTTAGTCAGATTTAAGTTTCAGTTTTCAGTTATAAGGATAGTGGGCCAGTTGGCCTGTGTCAATACTTACCGAAGATATCTCTGTGAAGATGTAGTCTCTCCTTCAAAGCGTTGGCAGAAGATGCTGGTACTACTTGGTGAGGTAAGGAGTTCCGGTTGTTGACAACACGATGGGAGAAACGCAGATTCACGCTAAGTTGATTCGATCTCGGTTCTTGAATTTTCCTGTGATGCCTTTGGAGATAGTCAGTCCTAGCAGAGGTAAAAGATAGGACATATCAATGCCAAAGGTATTATAAAAAATACGAAATGCCAGTATGAGATCATCCCGTCTTCCACGGTAAGGCAGCAGGAATAAGTTTAGCTGACCTAGTCGTTCCTCATAGGACAGATTCGAAAGGCCTTCCACAAGCTTAGTACCTACCCTTTGGACACTCTCGAGTGCGTTGACATCTTTTTCTAGGCGTGGGCTGGCCGCCTGACTGCAGTATTCTAAGTGAGGTCTAACGTAAGTAGAGTATTCTGGACATGTCCTGATCAAAACATTTGAAAGCTCTGCGGAAGGACCATAATACGTAGGAGCCCTTTGCTGCAGCTGCATTACAGCTTGCCGGGGTTTTCAAATCATGACTAATGATGACACCCAAGTCTTCTAGTTGAAAGACTAGGAGTAAAGGTGTACCATCAACGGAATACTGGAAACAGTTGCTATGACCAATGTGCATTATTGCACTTTTGTTAGAATTGATTTCCAAGCACCAACTTTTGGACTAACCTACCCGCCTGAAGTGCATACCTATCTGCATCACTGCGTATGACTCTCCAAATCTTTACGTCATCGGCGAATAACAGTACCGAAGAGCTGAGCAAATCAGGCAATTCGTTGATATACAACAAGAAAAGTAGTGAACCTAGAATTGTTGCTTGAAAAACTCTACTCATTACAGGTTTCCACCCAGATAGTGTCCCATCTACCCCTACTCTTTTCCTTCCATCGTATAAAAGGTCCCTGATCCAAGCTTGCAATGAAGCACCAAACCCGAAGGAGGAGAGTTTTCCTAGTAACTTCACATGCAATAATTTGTCGAATGCCTTACTGAAGTCTATAAACACGGCATTTATTGGCAGCTTGCAATCACGGGCTGCAACTCATTCCTCTCTCACTATGAGGAGGTTAGTTAGACAGGAGTGCCCAGTACGAAAACCATGTTGCTGTGGTGCTAAAAGATTGCTTGATTCCACATTTTTAAGTACCTTGTCACGAATTATTTTTCTAAAATCTTAACAACTATGCTAGTTACTTTCACAGGGCGTTAGTTAGACACCAAATGGCGACTACCGGTCTTAAAGACTGGGTTGATTATGGCATCTTTCCAGTCTCTAGGGCGGCGAGTCTGAGTAAGGGACATATTGGAAAGATCTGTAACTGGCTCAGCAATGACGTCTGCTAGCGAAGATAGAAGTCTGGGGAGTAACTCATCGGGACCTGGGGATTTTCCAGGTTCGATGTTAATGAGCAACTGTAAGACCTTTTCCTTTGTTGTGAACAACGTATCTATTAGTGGAACAGTGCTGGCACCACTGTTTAGCACTCCATCGTCATGATCTACAGAGTAGACTTCACTTAAGTGATCCGATAGACATTTAGCTTTGAACACACTAAATTCCTCCAGACTTTCGGACTTCTCATCCATCGCCAGAGAGGGAATTCCACATTTTCGTTTAGTCCTCCTTCTGCCTAATGCGAACAGTCTTTAGGACAATTTTGGCAATCCCTCACAAGCTGCTTCTCGTGGGACATTCGAGACCGTGTAATCAAATTTTTGCAGAGATTACGGACTTTACAGTGCTTAGTCTTAGAGGATTCCAGTTTACATTCTAGAAGTATGTCCCATAAACGTTTCCTCCGCCTTGATAGTCTCTCAATGTCTTTACCAAACCACGGAGGGCTATGTGAGGATCGTCGTGGAGTCAAACATGGAATACGTGGCGTCGTTACCTCTTCAAATAGAGTTCTAAATCTATTCCATGCTTTCTCAATTACTGAGTCGTTGTCGACGGTCCAATCCTTACTGACTGTACATTCTCTTATACTTGAAATGTCTGCATGCCATACATTAGGTCTGGGGGAAGGAGTGTCATAAGCAAACTCATTAGCACGAAAAACAAAGGTTAGCACTACATGGCTGCTGTTAGCTAATGGAGGGAAGTATCGTAAATCCAGAATGTCTTCACATTGATGGGTTAAAACTAAATCTGATAACGATGCCTTGTGCTCGGAATCCTAATGTAGTGCACATGTTACGTTTTGAAATAAAGCAGATTCTAAGACCGTCAAAAGTAAGTCATTTTCGAAGGAACTGCTGGATACTGAGACTGTTAGCTCCGTTTAGTTTATGTCTGGAGCATCTGCATCCCTAACTATTAGGCATCTGTTACTTCTACCCCAGTTACCTATATGGGTTAGCACGAAGTCGTTCGCAAGGAAGGATGGACTACGGTAAATTACCCCAATAGTACAGGAACCTTGCCGTGACTTCAGCTCACAACTGGCCACTTCACAGGTCCCGCATTCATGTGCTTCGGAAGTGACTAATAGTATGTGGATATCATCCTGAACATACAGTAGTATGGCGCCACCTTTGCGACCCACAACCCTATCCGTCCTTACACAGTAATACCCTGTGAGGAGTGGTGTAAAGTCTAAATCCTTCATTAACCAGGTTTCAGTAAAGGGTGCTATGTCAGGACCTAGTTCGCAAATTAAAGTCTCTAGGTCTGTCATTTTACTTCTAATACTACGAACGTTAGTGTAGATAACTCTTATTGTGTTGGAAGAGTTCCATGACCCACCTATATAGCCCTTGGAAGCATTTGCTTCCAAGATCTAACAACTCGAAAACTCACTATTTTAAGATCATTTTCTCCATTAGCTTATCGAGCCTTAAGTTCGGCAACAGATTCTCTTCTTTTTATGCAGTCCTCGAGGGGCCAGTTAGGTCGGACGCGGATATTGAACTTCGTAATTAGGATGCACTGCTCAAGAGTACATCTACTTCATCCTTGTTGCCTAAAACAATCTTTAAAATTCTCTTTTCATTAGGTTTTCCGTCCGTTTTCTTACCTAGCCTAACCACTTTGCAGACGTGTACCCCTTTAGACTTTTCAGGCACAATACGTCTGATGGCCGACCGTACTAGTTTCACGTCATGGCCGTGACGTATAGAAGCATCTTTGTCTGATGACTCCTCAACATTCCAGAAGGTTAAACCGGGTGTTGGAGTGGAATCGTTAAGTCGTGTGTTGACGGCCTTCGAAACCTTATCGATAGGTTTCATAAGCTTATTATCTCCCGTGATAACCTTTGGCAGTCTTTTCGGATGCTTTCTTGGAGAAACCCATGTAGATTCGTTGACCGCCTTTACAGAGTCAACGCTGCTACCAGAAATGCAGTTTTCCGGTGAATCCTCGGGCATTATGGTTGGTGAACCATTTGCCCTTGGTTTTCTCCTGCGTAGAGTGCGCTTCAAGACTGGTGTAATTTCACTAACTGGACCACCAGCATCTATTAGTCCACTGAGAGGTCCTGTGTCAGATATATTAACAATAACACTTGCAGCGTCATCATCTGATGCCTCATTATTATGACAGCTTTCATTTCCATGTAGCGTTATTCGACAAGTAAATTTTTAACAGCCTTCTTGATGAGGATTGGCAACGGCTTGTAGCAGAAATCACGTGACCAGGGAGAAGCTGGTTTGCTACAATGCTTGTACACGGTCGGTGTCAATCCGTTACAAACTTTGTGGAACCAACCTTTACACGCATCACATTGCCTACCTTCATCCACTGGAAATTTACAGCCGAGATGGCCGCAAACATGCTTATCGCTTGCCATGTTATTCACTAGTGCGTGTACTAACTGAAGTACTCGGTCAAAATCCTGACAAAGGGACTTAAGTTGTGACAACACAAAGACTAGCCTTAAGCCTCAAAAAATGATTAAACTTCGAACACTCACTCAAGTACTTCGAGCGAAGGTTTATAAGGAAGCTCTTGATGTGGATTACACAACAAAAGCAAAAATGTCAAAAGCGAGAAAAAATTCACTTCCTGTTTTCATAAATTGCACATAAATTGAAATCATTATCTAACAAAGCGTAGACTAAAATCGCAATCGAGTAGAACTTTGAGGAACTGTATCGTATTTTTAGGTTGCACTACAAAGATCTTATGTCAGTGATTTTCTACTACTTTCCACTTACATTGACATCAGACTCAGATTTGTTATTTGAGGATAGATGGTTGTGAGTTAGTATTGGCCATTTTTCATCAAATCTCTATGCCTGTCTACTCCTCTTTCGAAAACGTCTACTGATGATGCGGACAACATTTCTTCTGGTACGTGGTCCCAGGGATTGATTACTCGATGCGAGAACCGGTACTTTGTGGAGACTGTGTTCGTTCTTTGATATTGTATTTTCCATCCATATCCTCTGAGATGTCTCGAGCTAGTACGGAGAAAAATATAAGATAGATTAAGTTTGAAAACACTTGGGATCTTGTATAGCATGATTACATCTCCCCACTGTCTGAGATATGATGAAGAGAAATGGTTTAGCTCCTGAAGTGGATCTCCGCGATTGAGACTGGCCATCATAGAGATTATACGTGTTAATATCTTCTAGACTATTTCCAGAAGGTCTGAGTCATACTTCAGACGAGTATATGCTACATATTCACAGTTTTCT